AGTGGACCAGAAACAGTTTGTGACTGCAGCACTGAGGATGATCGCGGAGGACATGCTGCCACTCAGGTGAATTGTAGCGCTAGTGGCTGATACAGTGTCCTTGCTGGATTTGTTAGTTTGTTAAACTAAGTTTACTTTCCCAAGTCAGATAAATCCTTTCGTGGGTCTACCTTCTGTAGTTCATGTTATATGTGTCCCCTGACTTTGAATTACCGCATCAGAATACACATTTTCTAATCGGTTGGGCATAGCAAATGTACTTAAATATACACATCCAACCAATAGTCATGTTAATGCATTTGCATCCATTATTTAAAATGCACTATACCAATGTTCCTTCACTTTATTCCCCACAGTTTTATTGAAGGTGCAGGCTTCAGGTCCTTCATGAGTACCGTCCGGCCTGAATGCAACAAGCTGTCCCAGCGTGTCATGGGCCTACAACTCTATGATGATGTGGAGAGAACCATCAAGCCTCAGCTCATTCGTGACCTTAAAGCTTGCCTTGCCAAATCCAAAGATGGTGAGAGCGCCATTCATGTGACCTTTGACCTATGGGCAGGGGATGATGCCCATCCAGTGGAGGATCCCATAGTCGTGGTGCAGCTCCACTTTGTCAGTGAGTCCTGGCAGATCCGCCGTCCCATTGTGGCCTTCCGCCACCTCAGCCACAAAAACCTCAGCACGGCTGTGGCCAGGGAGCTTGAAGGTGTTCTGCTGAGCTACGGCATATTTCCTCGCAGCATCGGCTACGTCCTCGCCAACCAGGCCAAAGAAACCCTGGCTGGGAACAGTTTGTTCTGCGACTATAAGATCATGTGCTCATCCAGCAGGGGAGAACCAGATGGAGACGAGATGGTGTCATTTCTGTCGAACCAGATGCCTGGAACAGAATCCCCTTTTTCAGAGCTACAGATTGGGAACAGGGCCACCTGTGTGGCCCAAACATTGCAGCTTGTGATTAAAGAGGCACTGCAGAACTCCAGGGTTGTGGAAAATGTAATCTCCCAGGTCCACAACGTGGTGGCTTTTTTTAGGAGCAGCGCCTACTGGAGCGAGGTAGGAGAAATTAAGTCTTGCAAGTGTAAATTACCCTGTATTATTATTATTATTATATTCTTTTTACAACGGTACATATTTCTGTAACCAAATCAGTTGTTCGGGTTTCAGAGAATTTACATCCAAAGATGAGGTAGTACCAGCAGTGTGTCTTGTTGAAATGATGTGTTCATTAGGTCTATTCTGTGTATTAAACCTTTCAAATGTATTGTCCTACATCGTTTAGGTTTAATCAGATTTTTTTTATGAAAAAGCTTGTACATGATATGAAGGATTCATTTTCTTTTTTTCTTGCTGGTGTACAGTAGTTATTTTAGTTTACTGACATCAGATATATTGAGTATTTAAAGCAGGCACGCATTGGAAAATTCTGGGCAAATAGTGATGTTTATGCCAATACCATTTACGCTAGCTGGGTGTGGCAGCTGCTGTCCAAATCAAAGGCAAATAAATAAACAACATTTAGCCGGTGCAAAGTTGATGTGACAAACGGATAAACATTGGCAAATGTCATCTTATTCACTGATAAGACAATGTCTGGCAAAAATGCTAATATCAGCTAAATGTGCTATTTGAGGTGAGACAGCTTATACAAACATTACTGTTATACATATTATAAATTCTATCTGAGATCTGACATTTTTTTGTTTGCAGCAACCGAGAGAGTATAGTTTCCTGATTATAATTTTTTTTAACTTGTTTTGAATCTTTTTATTTGTTTAGGTTTTGATGAAGGAGTGCAACGTGTCCCTGTGCCCTTCCTCCAGTAGCTGTCGCTGGAACTCCATGATGCTGTCTTTACGGCGCATGGTGCAGGAGTCCACCTGGAGCGCCATCATGACTCTCTTAGCTCAGGCTCGCATAGAGGCCAACGACACAGCCAGTGTCCCGCCTCTGGTCATGGCCAAGAGGGAGCAAGTGATCGACATCCTGGGTCTTCTTGAGCCTTTTGAGGAGGCCTTGCAGGTAAAAGAGAAAGTAGATTTCATGGATGTGTTGGATCATATTTCATAATAAATTGCACTTGTATATGTTTTTTTAAAACCTGAACATTACTTCAGCCATTTGGTCACAAATCCTTTCCTATTTATACTTGCATTTCCAGTTTCCTTCACTTTCTTGTAATTTATTTCTGAAATGGTGGCAAATAATGATGCAGACGGCTTAAGAAGAAATATTAAGGAATACGCATTGAAACTTACTATCTTTTTAATATCTACAATCATTCATAGTACATTCAGCCCAGATTTAAGTATAAGATACCTTTTAGAAATATTATGTACATGTATGGAAATACAGTAGTGTTAGATAATTTCCTTTTTGCTTCTTCTTAACCAGGTACTGCAAGGAAATGGAGTGACTTTTTCTTTCATCATACCTTCCCTCATCGGCCTTGATAAGGCTCTGGAGAGCCTCGTCACCAACTACACCCACTTCAACAAGGCCCTGCGCACTGGCCTCCACACACACTTCCAGTCCATGATTCAACAGAAGGACATGATAATAGCTGCTGTGCTCGACCCGAGGATCAAACTGCAGGTATTGAATTAAAACAGTGCTTCTATGTTGTGCTCTTATGTGTTGCATGATCAAATGGCATCTTGTACATTTGAATGTAAGTGTTTATATTGAGCTCTCTGTTACTCCTCTGAGGATCTGCACCCAGAATCTGAACTCTCATCCTCGCTTGAATGTTTTTTTCTCAGCCGTTTCCTGATGCCAAACAGGAGGTGGACAACACGGGTTTCCTATCGCCACCACCAAAGCATCTAGCGCGCATCATTGTGGAAGCCGCAGTGGAAAGCATGGGGGCCTCAGCATCTCCCCCTGTTGAGGCAGATAAAGACCAGACAAGCAAAGAGGTCAACCAGCAGATTGGCGAAGAGAAGAGCCAAGACAGCGTGACGATGGAGGTATCTAGTGGCAGCTCCGACGATAACAACTCCGACGGACTCAGCGGGAACAACCTCAAGCGTAAGTCCATCTTCAACTTCCTCCAGCCGGCTGCAAAGAGAATGAAGACATCAGAGCTCGATGTGTACCTATCAGAACCGCTGTGGGAAAGCAACTCCAGCGTGTTGTTCTGGAAATCTGCCACTCGGTTTCCTCTGCTTCAGAGAATCACCAAGAACCTGCTGGCAGTGCCGGCCACCTCGGGGGGCTTCGATCGGCTGTGTCCCATGGCAGCGTGCATCGTAAGAGCCAAGAGGAGCCGCCTGCCATCTCACACCACAGAGAGACTGCTTCTATACAAAAACTCTTTAAAGACCAAGACTGGTAAAAAGCCCAGTGGGGTCGCTAAACACTGATTGGTTATGTGACAATTGGGTCTGGTTATTCTGTCCTCCAACACTGATCCTACATACTATGCTTTAAAAAAATGAAGGTATCCCCCTCAAATTAATTTCTTCAAAACACTGGATTAAAAACTGAGTTAAGCATCATTTGAACATCGCAGCAGTAGTCAACAGCAGCAATATATAATATACTAAAAGTATATTGACAAAGCTTGAGGATCTCTTTGGTTAAAATAGCAAGATACTGTAATACAGCACAAACTATTCCTCTGCTAGTGGATAGAGAGTGAAATGCAACTTCTTTGCTCTTCACATAAAGCAGCTCGACTGCATTCCAACAGTATTGACTTGAGCATAATTTACCCTGTAAAAAATGTCTTCCTGAAATTGTTAAAAAAAAGATGCTACACTCAATAACATTGCTTCAAATCACAACTCTAACATCAGCGTGTGTTTCTGTGTATGCAGCAATTGGATAATAATTGCTCTAGGCAGGTAAATCAGCATGCATGGCTTCTCAGTACCCTAAGGCAAAATGTACAGTGCATATTCTACATTTTTGTCCCTTCCTTGTTATTTATTTGTTTGTTATGCTGTACAGCAAGTGCAGATATACTGTGTATTTGGTCACCTGGCAGTACATTGAACACATTTTTTGTAGGAAGCCATGTTTATTTTCTTAGTCTTTCTCAAATTGTTTATATTTTTCTGTTTTTGGTCAGCGATGCTTGAAAGGTGCCCTTAATTAAATGTTTTCTCAAGAGGCTTGTTGATGAACTGTTTCTGATCTTAACTGAATTGTAACTTGTGATGGGGATCAATGAGAAAGATAATTCTGTAACTGGCAGGGATATTATTTAACAGGTAGGCTTTTAAACAAACTAAAGTTCACATTGAATGACAGCTAAGTGATTTATTGCAGCGATGATTGTCCATATTGTACCAATAATAACACCAGTGTGAACTTAAATCCTGTGATTTTGCATATCTCCACTTGGACATCATTTTTATGAAATAATAAAGCTATGTTCTCTTCAGTTTCCTGTCCCTCACGTCCATTTCTACTGCCACTTTCTGCATTTCAGTAACAATATAACTTAATTTTGTAATGACCTGGGAACTGTCACTCTAAAAGGTTGATCATTTAATTTTGAGTGATTTATCCCCAGCACCCCCGACTTCAGGTAGAATGAAATCTATCAACCAAAAGTCAAAGAAATTATTATTTTAATACCAAGAAGGCTTTTGGAAATGTCCATTACAATTACATTTTCTTTTCTGCTGTAATTTAAACATTTATCAAATATTTTAATGGATAATTTATACGTTTTATATATACAATCTAGGGTATTTATGGTAAGAAGGTCATGCATTATCATGCCATTTAGAGGTAAGGTATAAAGTGGATATGTTCTATTTGATTAGCAACCTTTGATCAATTATATCAATAAAATAAACCAATGTCTGGTCATTCAATAATTTTATTTTATTAAGATGTATTTCGTTTGTTTTTTGCTTTTCTTCGTTGCACTAATAATGTATATCATAAATGTATTAAGTGCCGTAATATTATTATTTTTCAGATGCCATCGTTGATTGGCTGCCCCGGCATTCCTACGTCAGACCAAAACAGTGCCTCAAAGGTAGTACTTCCGGTGTCACGAGCTTTCCTCTGCCATGTGGATGGTGGGAAAACAATCTTGAAGCTGCTCTTATAAAAACGTGTTTGAGAAGTAGAACAAAGCTGACCAGAAGAGCGGAAGGTCCTTTAGGAGGAGGAATGTCTCCGGTCAGGTGTAAAAAGAGAAACATTTGAAAGTAGGTAAAGTAGTCTGAGTAGTTAACTAGCTAAAAGTGGCCATGGCTCTGTACGTGAAAGCCGCAGAGATCCTGGACAAAGCTGAGAAGAAGCAGGGCGCTTTGAAAACTCTGGTCTACGACAGCAAATTTGAGAACATCAAACCATTGTTCGCTCTGGTTTTGGAGACCCAGAAGTATTCCTCCGTCCTGGAGGAAATCATCGTGTCCTCTAAGCTGCTCAAGCAGACCAAGATGCGCATGAACCTGGCCAAGGTGCTGGTGTTCGACCTGCTGATAGGCCAGGGGCTGAAGTGCGGAGGAGCCTGGAAGACCATGATGGTAAAGCACCGCGCCCGGCTGCAGTCGGTGCTGGCCCGTATGAAGGTGAAGCAGAAGGTCAGCAAGAATGAGGACCTGCTCCCGGACAGCGTCAAGCAGGTGCTCGCGGAAAATCTGCCCAGGTATGTGCGTGTGAACACCGTGAAGACCACCGTGGAGGATGCTGTGGACTATCTGAAGAGGGATGGCTTCGCCTACCTGGGACAGGCGTCCAGGCTGGAGGACTTGACCCTGAAGGAGAAATACTTTGTGATGGACATGCATCTGCCAGAGCTGCTGGTCTTCCCTCCTAACACTGACTTCCACGACCACTTCCTGTACAAAGCCGGCCACATCATTCTGCAGGACAAAGCCAGCTGCCTCCCTGCTTACCTCCTCAACCCCCCGGCTGGTGCACATATCATCGATGCTTGTGCCGCTCCGGGCAACAAAACCAGCCACCTGGCAGCCATCATGAAGAACAAGGGCAAGCTGTTTGCATTTGACTTGGATGCCAAGCGTCTGTCCACCATGGCCACTCTCCTGCTCAGATCCGGGGTCACCTGTCATCAGCTGGCCAACCAGGACTTCCTGAAGGTGGACCCTGACAGCCCGCAGTTTAAAGATGTTGAATACGTCCTGCTGGATCCTTCCTGCAGCGGATCAGGTAGAGTATCAGTTATTCCTGTGTTCCCCCCCCCACTTTTTCGCCACCATAACATGCACCTCCAAATCCTTTACATCCTCAATTAAGGAAGGTGACCTTACTTGTATAGTCTTATGATTGATACATCATACAATCATATATGACCACAATCTCCCTTGAGTAACACAGCATTTAATATAAACCGTGTTGGTGTTCATCATATCCCCTAAGTCACCACTGCATCCACCCTGTAACATCATCATGTCAGCTGACTGGAGATTATTTGATACCACATAATCATGTCTAATTTCAGGGACATTTTAGGATAAAATCATCAGGTACTCCAGGGATTTGGCCCGTATCGGAACGACACTTCATCCCTATAGCTACACGCAGTTTGGTTGACTAATTCTTCCCAGCCAAGCTCATTGGGTCGGAGTCTGATTCCTTATGTTTATTTGTTTCATATTCTACCAGTATATTCCCTCTTGTCTGCAGAGTTTCTAGCTCTATCTATATGGTGGCGTGTTACTTACCGGTTTCATTTAAATAACAGTTTGAGTCCCGAAGAGCTCAACATATCCATTATTATACAAAAAAACATATTTAAAAATATTTGTTATAGTTTTATTAAGGGTCCAAATATCAAGCAGAACTTTTAACTTTATTTCTGTAGCTTTCCATTAACCACCCAATGACTACTATACAAAAGCACGTGACTGTATTTGAGTAGAAACACTGGCTACACCTTGACCAGTTGCGACAGTACAATTATTCGTACGCATAGTTCGGGATTATTATATTGTTGTTGTAATTCAAATTAAAGTCAAGGAGCAGATATGCAAAAATAAATCATTTTTTTCCCAACTTCTTTTCTGAATATCCCCATTTTAATGTCTCTGACAACCTGAATGAAATAAAAGATTTGTACACATTTTAATAATCAGCAACCTCTACATGCAATAGTAGGATTTCAATATAATTTCTAAAACCTATGTGTCCTCCAGGCATGGTGTGTCTCCGGGACGATGCGTCCTCTGCTGACCAGGAGAAGGTTAAGGCTCGTCTGGCCGCCCTGGCCTGCTTCCAGCTGCGCTGTCTCAACCACGGCCTGAAGTTCCCTCGCCTGAAGCGCCTGGTGTACTCCACCTGCTCCATCCACAGCCAGGAGAACGAGGGAGTCGTAGCGGCCTGTCTGCAGGAGAACCCCGGCTTCAGGTAGCAATAATACATTTTCCCTAACTAATAACAAACTCAGCCATGTTTGTGTACCTGCAAATATTTGATAGTCCTTTATATTTGCTGTTTGGGACACGTCTTTTGTGGCTCCTCCTTGATTTAACTTTTAGTTTGAACTCTGATAAGGTGCCATTTTACAGTGTCTGACTCCAGAAAATCATTTTTTTTTTTGTGTTTTATCCTTCAGGTTGGTTAATCTGCTGTCTCAGTGGCCTGAACGAGGCCTGGAGCCGCTCACTCAGTGTCTCCGTGCCAACCCTGCGAAAACCCGCACCCACGGCTTCTTCGTGGCTCTGCTGGAGAAACACAACGGGGCTGGGAGAAAGAAGCGGGAGCCAGCAGTTCAGATAAGGTGAATACTGGGGTGTCATGTAAAGTTAAATATATATTGATGTTTCAACTCTTATTGTCGTAGTTTTGAAAATAGGGTTCACATGCAAATGTTTCACACGTGTAAAATATAATGCAGTTTTGATGTCTTTATTTTGATGAATGGAAATGATCCAGACTACATTGTGGGCATTCATTCCACTCTAATTGAATACATGTAGCTATTTCCTTTTGGTTTACAATTGTATTTTCTTCTGTGCTTCAGTGATCCTCCTGTCACAATCAGCGAGGCTGTGAATGAAGCAGAGAAGCAGGAGCCCGCGGTTCAGATAAGGTAAATACTATGGGGTCAAGTTATTGTCTTGGTTTCTAAAATACTGTAATTGGGTCATGCTTGCTCAGAATAAGTAATTCGGCAGTGGCACTTTGCTCTGGCCCTCTCCAGATGCATGTATTCTTTTATTACATAATTGATTTCTGAAATTAGAGGTTGACTTTAGTTTTCTGCTCTGTCACAGCGCTCAAGAGGCGACACCACCCATCCCCTCCACCCGTCTGAAGAGGCCTGCAGCTTCTGATGAAGAGTCTGCCGCTTCAGAGACGGAGGACAAACAGACTCCTGCAGCAGATCAGGCTGACGGTACACCCAGCAAGAAGAAGAGAAAGAGGAAGAAGAAGAAGAAGAAGAAGAAAGTGGAAACGGTGGAAACAGTGAAAACAGTAGAGTGATAGAAGAAACAAGATGGGACTGCTACAGGAGGGAATGCTCTATTAAGAAGGGCTCTGTTGATGTGTGGAATGTAACAGCAAAGTAAAGATTATTTTTTACTGTATCACGTCTCTGTGTTTTATTTAAGATTGATAGAACTTTTCTTCAACATGTTCAGGTGTTTTCCACAGAGAAATGTACGTTTCTATCCAGTAGGGGGCAGTAAGCCAACAGCCTATTAGCTGAAGAAGTTCAATATCCGTCTAAACAGAGTCACCTATTGGTTGAATCACTCGAGGCTTTTTATAACACTTACGCAAAAATGTTTTGTAACTGTTCCGCGTGTTGTTGAGAACTGAAGAGCTGTTTCGGATACGTCTTGTAGGAAACATAAAGTAAGTAATTTTGTATGAATGTAGCTGATTTAAATGTTTCCATCCTGTAGTTACGTATTAAACGGCTTAATGCGTTAAGTTGACTGACAACTCTCATGAAGGAAAAACATGTGATGCCTTGCACCGTGGAAGACAGCTGATTTGTGTTCATACTGCAGGCTGCCCCTAGTAGCTCTTCCCCGGCACAAACCGCAGGATGTCCCCGGTGCCCAAAGTGAGACTTTCCGGAGGTCTGGAGATCTGCCGGGTGCTGAACGGGATGTGGCAGGTGTCCGGGGCTCACGGAGCCGTGAATAATCCCAAAGCAGGTAAACACTAATATGGTGGAAATAATGCAGAAAAATTAAAGCTATACGTGTTTTGTGGAAAGGGTCACTGGGTTGGAACACTTTATACATTTGTGTAGATCAGCCTACGTTAACATCAGTCGTGGAGATCTTAATTGACTAATATTTTATCTTATGTTCTCTTGTCTCTCCAGTGGAGGCCATGCAGGCCTACGTAGATGCTGGTCTGACCACATTTGACATGGCAGACATTTATGGGCCTGCAGAGGATATATTTGGACAGTTTAACAACCAGGTACAAACGCACACAACACACCACACGCAGAGTTCCAGATAGTGGCCCTTTCTCATTTCACCAATTCCCCTCCTCGACTCCTATCCTCGAGATTTAGTCCCGCCCACAGGAGATGCGAGCGGAGGAGCCGAGGAGGGGAACCGAGGAGAGAGGAGGGCGGCAGGCGGCTAGAGAAATGAGAACTCCTCTCCTCTGAGCGTTCATATTAAAGAGATGTCCATTAATGATGACAGGAGGCACAGTCTGATGGACAGATGTGTTCATGACGACTTATATATTTATTTTTTAATTAATTCACAGTGCGGTATAATGAGACAACAGGCTACAGATGCGAGGACACACACACACACACACACACACACACACATACAATTTCAGAATCAAACAGAGCACTCTCATAATAACGTAACACTATCAGAGACTGGATATATCCCCCCCCCCTCTCTGGTCGCTACAATGAGGAAAATAAATTACGTGCCAAAAGTTTTATTTACAAGTATTGAAAGTAAGCAGAGGACACCAAACCAACTGAGACCTGTCTGTCCGCTGCATCTACGCACACACCTACACCACACACACGCACCTACAGCATATAATCAGGCTACAGCCGTTGTGTATTTATTATGTGAAGCACTAAATGGTCTTAGAAAATATCGACTCTTTGTTTGTAGATATCTACTAAACTAAAGCAAATAAAGAGAGTAGGCCTGTTATACTGAGTGATATTATACACACTGCTCTGCTTTCTGCACGGACCTCACAGCTGTTCTCTCTGAAAACATCGTGTTGCGATGAAAGCAGTTAATAAAATAATATCCAGGGGATGCATGCAGAGCTGTCATTGGTTGAGATAAGTCCGGCCGTGCGTCACGACCATAGATTGTATAGGTCACGACTCTTTGAAACATCTCTGTTCCCGCAGTAGGGCCTGGCTCATTTCGTGGCATCTGCAGGCAGTGGCAAGTACTTCCGGCATCTGCCACAGATGCCACTACTCCGTGGCATCTGTGGCAAGTACTTCCGGCATATGCCACAGATGCCACTACTCCGTGGCATCTGTGGCAAGTACTTCCGGCATATGCCACAACTTGCCGAGGCATCTGCCGCTGCTCAACGGTAGTTGCCACAAGATGCCAGAGTAAGAGAAGGTTTACTGTAGCTGCCACTCGCCTTCCGTGGCAAATGCTGCTATTTAAACCCGTATTTATCGTGTAAAATGTCGCTGTTTAGGCATGACTTTATCGAACTGATCTGTACACAGCACTGATGTGCGATCTCTATTTTCAAAAAGATTATACATTATCATTTCTATTCAATTTTACTTGGAGCTAAAATAAACAAATGTGCTATATTTATGATGAAATATTGGCGAGTGAGGGTTGCAACGCCCTTGGCAATTGTCGCTTCTTGAGGGGAGTTTCCACTGCTTGCTACGATAAACCAGGTGTATGACTAGTAAAGACAAATAATTAACAAATACATATTTTTTTGTCCTCTGGAGCAGAGAGAGGAGCTGTGGATTATTGTTATTGATTAATGCATCAGTGTCAAAAATACTAAATTCACAACTTCAAATGAAAGTGTTTAGTTTATTTAATAAAAGAGCACATGTTCAATGTGAAAAGTGACAGTAGATAGATTAGTTGCAATTTGATGCTATATATATATATATATATATATATAATATATATATGTGTGTGTGTATATATATATGTGTGTGTGTGTGTGTATATATATATATATATGTGTGTGTGTATACGTGTGTGTGTATATATATATGTGTGTGTGTGTGTGTATATATATATATGTGTATATATATGTATTATAAAAAAAATACTTTGAATTTCAGGGGGGGGGGCGCGGGGCTCCGTTGGTAGGGGAAACACTGTACAGTATATTACACACATTGGGCTGAATTGCCACTAAACATAATGACGTCAGGATGAGAGGAAGATGAGAGGCCAGGAACTGCGCAGGGATGGATTCAGCAGGACTGATTCTCCCCATTTCCTTTTCATCCATAATAAATAGATCTCAGTTTATGGATTACGGGTTTTTTTTTGTCCCACACATTTGATGGTATTTTGCAACTCTTAATTTAACCAAGTATACACACACTTCCCATTTAAGTCTTGACCATAGTTGACCTTTTTTTTAACCTCAAAATATTTTCCGACTTATTTATTATTATTTTAATCAAAGTGTTTAATGACCTTCAAGCTTCTGTTTAAATTCAATATGACTAACTAATATACTACCTAATATAATTAGGGGAAACCTTGCTGGTGTACATTTTTAACAATAAGCTTTGATTTTAGAGAATGATTTCAAACAGCAAAACAAGAGACACTTTTACAAAGTAATTTATCTTTTTACCCATCACCTTGAAATCCAGGTATGGTTAACAGCTATGGTTAACGTACCCATTCAATTACACCAGTGGTCCTATTAGAAATGCACCTTAAAAACTTTCAGTAACTGTTAGATCATGAATTCAAAATCATTAAAAATGAAACAGTGATGCAGAATGACTCAAATGCAACAATTAATTTAATTGTTCAACAATAATAGAAATGAAATGGAAAACTGAGTCTTTAGTCTGCGTCTTCAGGCAGCAGCATCAGACTGTTTCTGAACCAAGAAGGGCTGGACTCGTCTTTTCCTTTTGACCTCATGCTTCCTGATTGTCCGTTCATCCTGCGCTGCAGTCATGACAACAGGTCCATCATGGGGGGTTGGAAGAGCCAGAGTCACAGCAGGGCCTTGTTCTCCGCTGAGCTCCAGACCAAGCTCCTCATTCAGATCTCCAGCCAGGGTGTGAATGGTCTCTGCACCATCCACTACATCTGCTAGCTGGCTGCAGTTTCTTTCGTTGCTTGAATTCTCAACCACATGTGTGTTGCTCTGAGGCTCAAACAGCACACCTATCTCGCTCACTGCAGCATCTGCAATGGTGTTCAGTATTTGTGCTGCAAAGGAGTTAAGCTCCCTCCTCCAGATGTCTTGAGCCGGGTACATCTGTCTAACCTTTTCCTGGATAGACACGACCATGGCATCTCTGATGGAGCAAGAGACGGTGACCTGATGGTGCACATTGGACAAAGCATTGGAGAGTTTGTCCAAAACACACTTAGTAACCCCAACAGCCATTTGATTGAGCTTCTGCGAGGGCATGTTGAGAAAGGTGCTTCGAGGAGGTGACCAGAAGCCTTGTAGGACTTTAGGTACCACCTGCAACACCACATCTCGTGGGCCGAGCAGTTTGGAGCTGGGGGCAGACTGCAGTCGCTCTGTCAGTCTCCTACCGTACTCCTGAGCCAAGTTCATCAGCTTTGGGTGACGAAAACCAGCAGGGATGTCCTCTGGGGACATGAGCAGCCTTCTGGCTTCAAACACGATGTCTCGCATTTTCATGCTGTTGATCACCTCCCACAACAAATTGAGAATAGGCTTTGCAACGTCTTCATCACGGTCCTCTAGTTCAAAGTCCCAGAGCTGCACTCTCAGAGAGCTTTTGCTTTCTTCTCGCAGCAGGTCTGTCATGTCATCGACAGTCACCTCAGATGGGATCATGTCTTTCTGCTGAAGCCGCAAAAGTTCTATCACCAGTGCGATCTTGGTCTTGTAAGAGCTGATATGCCAGCAGACCTGCAGAGCCCGCTCATATATGGGGGTGTCGAACAACACCCTGATGGGTCTGTAGATGCCTTTGCTTCCTTCAAGGAAATCTATGGACATGTTGTTGCTGGACATCAGAAAACTCTCACTGACTGTTGAACCATCCTGGGTAGAAGCAGGGGTAACAGAACGTGGAGTTGCTGAAGCCATAGAAGAGTTGCCTCTGCTTTCTTCAATGGACTCCATTGATATGCTGTTGCTGTATATCAGAGTACAGAACAGACTTAAAAACACAATTACAATTTTCCAACGAGAGACTAGAGAGTAGTCAAGCACAGTTGATCAGTTGATCGCACAGACAGAAGTGAACAGTGTGTGTTCAGGTGGCTGGAAGGAAGGAGGATTCTGACTCCTTGTGTTGAAAACTCTGTTCCGTAACCCTTGGTTTTGGAACTCTTTTCTTGTGGAACTATTTTCTTTGTTTGTTTTTTTATTCCCACACTACACTGAAAATGCATACACAACTTCAAAAACACGCACACAAAATACACGCAAAAGCGCAGAGGAGACATAACAAGAGAGGCTAAAGAAAACAGAGTGCAGTGAGCTATGAACTAAAAACACACATACAAGGTAGAAGTGGATAGACACACACACACACACACACACACACACACACACACACACACACACACACACACACACACCCACACGGTCCCAGTGTGACTCCGATCAGTTTTTCGCGCCTGATGTGCTGTGACAGTCTAATGGTATCGACCGTGGTCTCAGCCATTCACCTGGAATAATGTGCAGAGAGATGGAGAGCTCTTCTCTCCTACAACAAGCTTTTCTCTTCTTCTCACATTTAACCTCATTACACACAAGCTTTCCAGGCTCCTTGTACCTTTTAACCTTTTAAAATGAACTCATCAAGGAAAATGTCTTACATACTGAATCCTTTCAAATGTGTTGGCAGCATGAAACAGGAGGAAAAAAATGCTAATTTGTAAAATATTTAAAAGGGCGATTCTCGATTTTAATAAATTCAAGCGAGTTATATTTGTATGACTTCCTTTCCGATCTATAGAGGTGCAAATCTGGAAACAGCACCCCAGGTCTGCAGAGTCTGACCAAATACGTGCCTCGACCGGGACCAATGGACCGCAAGGTGAGTGGCTGAAAAATGTGTGGGAGAGAGGGACACCCCCACTCAGTCTGCCGTGTTTTACAGTGAGAATACTTTTATCCACTAGAGAGCAGTGTGTGTCTTTTTAAAAGAACTAGGACATCACCTCTGCCGGCCCACTTAACAAATGTAAAGCTGCACGGAAAATTCTCAGTAAATGTGTTGGTGTTCAGTCGGCCTTAAATAATGAACCCTATATCCTTTGTTTGAGGAGGCCTTACTATGGAAACAACATGATCACAAGTTATCCAGGTTAACCCTGTGGTTTATTGCTATTTGTACCAATAGGATGCTCCTAAATCATCAGTTAACAAATATAAGCAATCCAAAATCATGTTTTTGTAATTACAGCGATTTAGGTTGTCAGCTTCGGAGCTATGCACATGGTATTAGAGCTATACTGATGTAGTCGCCAACATTGAAATAGTGCAGGACAGGTATATTGATATCATTGTATATGTTGGCCAATAGGAAACAGCACATTTCAGTACAGAAATACCAAGCATACATGGCATTGTCTGGGATCATATGTTTTTGTTGATGTATACAGACAGATTTTAAATCTTTTAGGATGAATTCAACTTACTATCAAATTACTGTTGACAGTGTAACAGGATCTGAGGTGTTACTCTGTGTATGCAGGTGGTGCTGAAGGCGCTGCAGCGCTCCATGGCCCGTATGCACGTGGACAGTCTGGACTGTGTTCAGTTCCACTGGTGGGACTATAGAGACAAAAGATACCTGGAGGCACTGGGACACCTGTCCGACCTGCAGCAGGAGGGACTTATACGTACGTTCACTGAGTTACACAAAACCTATTGTAGGCATTGTACAGATACATGGAAAAAATCTAATTACACAAATGCTAGACTTGCAGACTGATTTCCCAGATCAGATATCAGAATATATTTGGAGGAAGAGTTCATACTTGACCTGGAAAAGGCAGTTTGAAAATAAATAAGCTTAACTTAGGGTCCATCTACAAACCTTTTTAGTTTTCTTAGTTTTCAACCACAGTTTTTCAACTGCAGCAGAGGTGTGGTTAAAGGTTTCAGAGATGAGAACTCAGTGGACCATGTGTTGATAATTTATTTCTCACCAAGCTTAAGAGTGAACCTACAAGCTCAAAAATAATTGTCTGCCTTTTTTTCTATTTAGATTTACTGCTAAGAAAATAATCAAAGTAATATGTTGTTAATGTTACAGCAACAAAAAGTTTCTTTGATTATTTTTGAAACAAATGATGATGCATATATCGTTATTGGATCATTTTAACATATGGATAATAAAATGAGCAGCATACTGGTAATGAGAAGATCTGGCAGTACATTAGTGTGTCATCTTTATATTTATTCTCAGACTTGTTGTACTCTCAACCGGTTTGTTCCTTTTTCCTCAGGAGAGCTTAGCCTCACTAACTTTGACACACAGAGGCTGGAGGAGATCACCAGCAGAGGCATCCGCATCTCGAGCAACCAGGTGACACTTCCAGCTGCATGCTGGCACACTTCTCCATCAGCCTCTCTTCCTCAGTTATAAACCGTGTGTTTAATGTGTGCGCCCTGCAGGTTCAGTACTCTTTGATAGACCAGCGCCCTGCAGCCAGGATGGAGCAGTTCTGTGTGGCTAACAACATTCAGCTCCTCACCTATGGCACACTGGGTGAGATACGACACATTACATTTTAAATACACTCATTACATATTAATTTTTTTTATTATTTGAATGTACTCCGATATATGAATGTAACTCCTGTAGAGAAATAACATTTAAGGATGTAAGCAACACATTTTGCATCATGGTGTAAAGATGTAAAATGGTAGGTTTCTAAAATGGTCGATATGACGACACATCCTCTCTCCACTTCCTTCCCCCCTTTTCCTCCTCCTGACCTCACTGGTCTCCTTCATTTCTTCTTTTTTTTTATCCAACATCTCTTGTTTCACCCACTTCTTCCTTCTCCATCTCATATATTCTCTTCCTCCATTTCTCTATTCCTGCTGTTTCCTTCCATTTTCACTCCATCCTATTCCTCATTCCTGACTCCTTGTAACCCCTTCTTCTTTCCTCCATCCCTCTCTCCTCCATCCCTCTCTCCTTCATCTCTGTCCTCTTGTAGCTGGCGGTTTACTCTCAGAGCGTCATCTGGGGAAGACGGAGCCCAACTCCAGGGCGGAGCTCTACACCGCCTCCCTCTCCAAGTACAAGAAGATGATCGACTCTTGGGGGGGCTGGAGCCTTTTCCAGGACCTCCTCGTTGCCTTGGAGACCGTTGCCAGGACACACGACTGCTCGGTGGCCAGTGTAGCAACGCGGTACGTGCTGGACCGCCCTGCGGTGGGCGGGGTCATCGTGGGCTGCCGGCTGGGCATCTCTGGGGCAGGGCAGCACCTCAGCGACACTCTGCGGAGCTGCAGCCCCGCCCTGAAGCTGACGGAGGGAGATCTCGCCGCCATCGAGACAGTGACACGACGCTCCAGGGACCTCATGGCGCTCATCGGGGACTGCGGGGATGAGTACAGGAGCTAAAGTGGGGGAAGGGGGGAGTAACTAACTGGGAGTGACAGATGGGGTGAGGAGGAGGAGTAAAGTAAGGGATAGGAGAAACATCTCACATATCTACCCATAGTAGAAAAGACTAAATGCATCTCCATTATACATAACCAAAGTATTTCACTAAACAGGGACTTCCGTTTTCTTTTATATAACTTCTGAAGATTATGTGTTTTAATTTTTTCTAATGAATATTGGATGCTGATAACCAGATTAAACACTTTTCTCCCGCAGCATGTGCTTACACTGCTTTGTTAATGTGGGGGAGAAGATATTTTTCAGGCTTTAATTGAGTTACAATGAGACACACAAACACTCAGTGATAAGTAATCACATGAAAGTGTCTAGTAAGTAGACACAAAGCTCTAGAATTAAGAAAAAGTTCAGTGCCTAAACTATTATTTTAAGATTTAATGCTGTGATTTTAAATATATATGGTTTATACATAATGAGATATTTCATTAATGAAATTCTGAGCTTTTGAGTTGGATGTAATGTTGTCAAAATGCAAATCAGCTTGAACAAGTGCTTTGGGTTTAATAAAATGTTTTCCATCATGTTTGCAGTTTTCTTAGCTTTTTATTTATTAAGTGATACATTTGCCTAAATCTCAAAAACCTTTTTGTGGCTTAGCTCCCGTGTTATCTAGCAAGAAACCCCACTGCAGTCAGCATGTCGTTGTGTCCCTGGGCAAGACACTTCACCCCAAATTGCTCCTGTGGGGATTGCCCACAGTACTGAGTATGTAAGTCGCTTTGGATAAAAGCGTCTAACAAGTGACATGTAATGTAAAAGAAAGAGAGTTACCAAAGACAACTGTTATCTTGGATTGGATCTTTAGGATTATCATGACCAATGGGCACATTTCGGTTTCTGAAAAGAGGTGTCTTGTTTTTTTAAGAATTCAATTACTTTTTTCTAAATATATGTACTGACCTTTAAATGGCTTAGTGAGACAGACTTCTGCACATTGTAATTCCTTTGTGTCTGAGGTCGACGGTTCGTGTATGTGTTCCGGGAGGGGAGGGGGGGGGGGGTCTCAGTAGACGAAGGATTTGGTTTACCCTGAAGCACTGTATGGCCTGCGTTTTGAGTGTGCGTGTATTAACTATTATAGTATAGTGAGTGTATATATGTATGGGATATATATATATATATACGCACACATATCACATATGTCATTTTCATATGTTGGATATTTTGGACATGCTATAGTTCATTTTTATTATGTTTTTCAACTTCTGTTATGTACTATATATTCTTTTGTTTTTTTTCTGACAAGGCAAGGCAAGTTTATTTATATAGCACTTTTCAACACAAGGCAATTCAAAGTGCTTTACAAAAAATGAAAGAGATTAATTAATTAAAAAAAAAAAATGTTTACTATACTATGTGTTTTTTCTGGTATTAACAAAATAGTGTTGTATGCTACGTATGTTTATACAGTCTATGGTTGTATGTCAAGAAAAGATCTGAAAAAAACAAGTTAGTATAGTATGTCGAAAATATAATCAAAAAAACATAGTATACTATGTCGGAAATGTAAGCATAGTATAGTAAAACATTTATATTATATTTTAATAAAAATATATTAGAAAAAAGTCATAGTACGGTATTAAAAAAAACGTCAGATAAAACAACATAGTATAGTACTTTGAAAAGAACACCATCTTTAACTATGTCATAAAAGAAGTCAGTATCAGTATCAAAGTTACTGAGGAAACGACATAGTATAGTATGTCATTAATAAAAGTCATAGTATAGTATTTTGAAAAGTAAAGTATGTCATAAAAAAAAGTCTTTCAGTTTCATGTCAGGAAAAGAAAGTAATTTTTCATAAAAATGTATGTAATTAAAAAGTATTTGAATAGTATATTATGTTAAGTCATATTGTAAAAATATGTACTGGAAGAATGATTTAATGTATCTTTTGTTGGCGTGTACACTATGTTTGAAAGGTGCTGAAGTAGCAACAATTCAGTTTGACAGGAGGTGTGTGAGCGATGCCACATGTCTTCATATACACTATAATGTGCGTGTGTGGGTTAGTCTGTGCATTAGTAGAGAAGGATCCATACGACAGATTGACAGATATACAGACAGATGCTTAGATGGCCGTCAGGACAGAAACGCCCAGCCTGTCTCCATTCCCAGGATCTGTGTGCGAACTGTGTGAACACACACACACACACACACACACACACACACACACACACATACACACATACTGCACATCCACAATCTGTCAGCCCATTTTACTTTTCTCCATCACACACACTCACAGCTGTCAGACAAGCTCCTGCTGCGCTATAGGAGGGGGGTCAAAGTTTGTCCCAAATATCACATCCAATCCTTTGTGCTCTTTCTGACCGGCTGGAGTTCAGTCATTACCGTGAACAAAGAACTGTGCAGAAAACATCGTTAGTTTTATGGAAAAATTTAATCTTACTGTAATTCTGGGTGTGGCTGCTTTGCCTTAAATGTACATGCATTTAGTAACAGTCAGAAAACGACTTATCTTTGACTGAAGCATGTTATTTCGTTTCACCCAGATTTTTTAAATCCACAAAAAACAAGACTCCTACCTACCTATTTATTTATTTATTGTTTCATTTTCTCCTATTGTGAGTATAAAAATAAGTGTACATTTCATTTGAATGGCGAGGATTAAAGCCACAGCACCTATAGGCAAACCAGAATAAATAGGATGAATAAATCCAACCCACAATTTGCATAAAACATGGTTTATTTGCTAAATCCCACACACATTTTACTGACACACACACACTGCAGTCCGCGTGAATTTTTCAATAGACTTGCTATTAAATTATTAACGCACATTAAATATGAATTGCACATGGTGGGTGCAGGCTTGATCCTATGGACATCCACTAGTCACAAGGGCACTTAACCACGAAACAGACCTTATACTCAGAGAAATCTCTGTTTTTTCACATCGGTAGAATTGTGTGAACCATAGAGGATAAAAAAAACAACACTCATTGCACTACAGGCCAGGGGGTAAAAAAGTCCCCAGGGAACCTTTAAGTGTGTGCACTCCAAACTGGCAGGCATCGATGGAAAATAAGGAAAATAAACAATACATGACATCACAACATGTTATAATGCAAAACTCCAACTCTAACATTTGTTACTGGGAAATACTGCAGTAACCCTAGTGTGCTAGCAATCATGCAGTTTGCATAGTAACACTTTACCTTTTGGCCTATATACATTTAGTGCAATGCTATGTTTTTTCATTTAAATGGTATTTTTTAATTTTAGTAGAAGTTATTTTGACCTGTTGGTGACGCAAGATAAAACCTGGTGGAAGTACAGAAAACGAAAACAGCCATGATGGCAACGACAGGGTTTAGAAAATGGACCGAGAAAAGAAAGACATCAGACACAGATATTGTGAAGAAACCATCCCTTTATTGGTGTAAAGCAGTCCCATCCAAGTTAGGGTGAACAGATTAAACACAGTCAGTGCTCAAACAGACCAAACCAGAGTTCGTCCACACCCTGCTGGATATAGTGGGGGGGGGGGGGGGGTTACAGAGTCGTATGGGTGCAGACCTGTGAGCCTGCACCAAAAAACTGACAGGGGTTCCACAGAAAATATAAAAAAGATTTCACTTTACTCCAAATCACATTCACTGCTTTACTGAAACACTACAGCAGTACCAGAACTTTCTCTGGGCGGTAGGAAAGGGTTGGAGGGGATATGTGTGTGTGACGGGGTCACAGTGATGACAGTTAAAGAGAAAACCAGGTTATATTTTTTTTTATTATTTAAAAACCAATGCTAGAGGTTGTTTTACGAGGAGGAGAGCGTGAGTGGGCCGGAAGTGTGTCCCCTCCCTCTGTGTTGTTTGATGTCTCCATGGTGATCACCAGGTAACCACGGAGTCCTTTGCCATGTTGCTGCTGCTGCCACCGCTGCAACGTGTTTACTTGGCGTTGGCGGCGCCGCTGAGCATCTTCCGGACTGCCTGAGTGATGCCGTCGCGGTCGATGCCGAAGATCCGGAGCAGCTCTGCGGGCTTCCCGCTGCGGGGCACCTGGGAGACGGCCAGGCGCTGCACGGTGAAGCCGGTCTCGTTCACGACAGCTGCACACACCGCCTCACCTATCCCACCTAAGGAATCAGAAAATAAGAAAGGGTTAGTTCACCAGATGTACAGAACAAAAGCATTGGTACTTGTGGGTTATCTGTTATCCAATGCTTTTTCTACCATTTCTGTCTTTGTTCTTCTTTTGTTTTCCACACTGTCATCTTAAATCTCTCACACCCTAACGGACGGTTGAGCTGCAGTGATGTGATGTGGACTGACAGGACAGACTACGCCCTCCCTCCACTTTCTCACTCCTCCTCCTTCACCCCCAGTCTCTTACCTCCCTCTATCCTCCCCTCTTTTTTCTCAAAACTGTCATTCAAACATTTCTGATTGAGTGAACATGAAAGCTGAGACTGATTCACTAATACATTCTCCCCAACCCTTGGTTGATATACTAGCTGGGAACTAGTGTGTACAAAAGAGAGACAGAGAAAGACATGCGCTGTATCATTTAGGTACCCACTGTACTACAGAAAATAAACATTATCGATCAGACTTTTTATTATAGCAATACAAAAAATCCTTTACATTACATGACCAGGGAAAGAGGAAACAGTTCACAAAAGGACTCAACTTCTACTTCCTTCATTTAACCTCATCTCCAAAATACAATTAAAATTGGTTTGGAGGAAACGGGTAGTGATACTGGGCTTCCCCCTCTTCCCTGCACCATCTTCCACCCTCTGCTAAGTGCCAACACACACATATAAATCAAAATTAAACGGTCAGGTTCATCCGAATATTGGTGTTTGCATGTTTGTGTGTGTGGAGGAGAGACAAAGAAAAGCAAATTCTATACATCTGTCATGCTGGTACTGAATGTAGGTCAGCGAGAGCCCAAAGGCTGGAGCTGAAATTAAGAAACCCTGACAGGCTCTCCCAGCTCCCCCGCCTCCCTCATGTATTGTTTTCATCCATTTCACCTTCTCTGTATCTTACATCTCGCTCCGCAACTTTCACCCCCAATCTCTACTGTACTGTACAGCATCCTTACACCCCCCACCCCCCCATGCGCAGATTCCATCTTCCTCACAGCTTCTCCATCTGCAGACAGACCTTTGTCTGCCCCAGGCTTTTTATTCATGAGAAACAAACACACAAGCGAAAGCACAACAATCGTTAAGCCTGCTAGTTAGAGCTGCGTATTGTTGTCATGAATTCCACACGGATGCAACTGTACAGATTTTAATTGGACATAATTAACTAGATTGTGCAGTAGTGTGGGACTACATTGCTCTACATTATTTGTGTCTGTCAAAAAGTATGATGTTTAATTAAAGAACGTCAGTGTGTCCGGAAATCGAAGTATTTGGGGAATTGAGAATACTTGGAGAGCATTTCTGGCGTTTTATGATTATGGTATATTTATCAATGGGACATTATAAACATAAATCCATGATAAATCATGACTTCAAGGACCAAATGCAATTCTTAACTA